CCTTAAGAGTGGCCTGCCGATGCAAGTGTGGGTGGATTATGACGGAGGTGAGACACAAATCAATGTCACTCTAGCTCCAATCAATGCCAACAAGCCAGAAACACCATTGTTAACGTTGCACCAAGATCTTTCTCAAGTTTTAACTAATTCCAGTTATGTTGGATTCTCATCTTCCACCTCTGCAACGCTGATAGCTTCTCATTATGTTCTTGGGTGGAGTTTCCAGCTCAATGGGAAGGCTCAAAATCTCGACGCCTCAAAACTCCCAAAACTACCGCCACTTAAAAGGAAAAGATCTATGATTTTACTAATTGTGTTACCTCTCCTCTCACTCTGTTTAATTATTTTTGTGAGTTTACTTGTAGTTTGTTACATAAAGAAGAAAAGAAAATTCTCCGAGATTGTTGAGGATTGGGAGCAAAATTATGGTCCTCACAGGTTTAAATATAAAGATCTCTACTTTGCCACAAAAGGATTCAAAGAGAAAGAGCTTTTGGGCTCTGGTGGATTTGGAAAGGTGTACAAAGGGACGATGCCGGGTTCTAAAATTGAGGTTGCTGTGAAGAAAGTATCACATGATTCCCAGCAAGGCATGAGGGAATTCATTGCAGAAATTGTAAGCATCGGTCATCTTCGCCACCGAAACCTTGTTTCTCTTCTGGGATATTGCAGGCGAAAAGGCGAGCTTCTTTTAGTCTACGAGTTTATGCCAAATGGAAGCTTAGATAAATACCTCCATAACCAACCGAGTATAACACTAAATTGGATGCAAAGATTTAAAATCATCAAAGGGGTAGCTTTGGGATTGTGCTATCTGCATGAAGAATGGGAGCAAGTTGTGATTCATAGAGACATAAAAGCAAGCAATGTTATGTTAGATTCTAATTTCAATGGAAGGTTAGGAGATTTTGGTCTTGCTAGATTATATGATCATGAGGTTGATCCTGCAACTACACATGTGGCCGGGACTCTGGGATATGTTGCACCAGAAACAATGAGAACAGGAAGAGCCACAACAAAATCTGATGTCTTCGCTTTTGGAGCCTTTTTGCTAGAGGTTGGATGTGGAAGAAGACCTATTGAGCGAGGACGTGAAGATGAGATTTTGGCGGATTGGGTTTATGGGTTATGGAAGAAGGGTCAGATTATGAAGGCAATGGATCAAGCTTTAGGAAGGGACTATAACGAAGAGGAGGCAGAATTAGTGTTGAGATTAGGACTTTTGTGTTCAAGTTCTAAAGCTGAGGAGAGGCCAAGCATGCGTCAAGTTGTGCAATATTTGAATAGGGAAGTTCTTTTACCAGATTTGTTATCACTAATGTCATCTCCCTCTTGTTTTGGATTCACGTTTGAGACTAATACGGAGTTTGATGTTACAATGTCCTTTCCATCTTCTAGTGGGGATGGCACTCACATTCCAATATCTGAATCGCTTCTCTCCAAAGATCGTTAAATTCTCTTTGTAGGCATACATTTGCATTATGTTAAATTTGTATCATTATGCTTATATTGTTATTTTTATATGTATATATTCCTCTGGTTCCATTTATAGAGCAGAGAGAGAAAATATTTTTTAGTCCTATTTATAGGGCACTGAGAGAAATTTTATGTATGGATATGTAATTTTACCCCTTATTTATTATTGTGCTGACTTTGTTTATATGAGATATAATGTATATTAAATAGGGATAAAATTGAAAAGTTATTAAATTTTAAATGAGGGTTAATGAAGTTTAAAATTTTTTTAGTCTGTGCAAAACATACTAAAAGTATCTTATAAATAGGATCAGAAGATTATTTCTGGCTATTTGTGAGCTACATAGGGAAAGGGAAAAGAATAAGGTCACATAAGAATCACAATTCCGATTTACAAAATTGAATTATCGAAATTTCAATCAAAATCATGGTCCTAATTAAGTGTTTCCTCCTTCAGCATTCTAAATGTTTTAAATCCTCTGTTTTTTCTTCATCTTTTTTGTTTTTTGTATAGCTAAAATTAAATCTTAGTCCCTGTACTTTTACTAACTTCCAGGATCACCGATCACATATGCTTTATATTAGAACCATTTTAGATGCTTTTCTTCTCCTTTCAACTCTGTTGATAGCTCAATGCATGAAGCCCGTTTGATACAACGAAAATATTCCAAAGAAAAAGGAAAATAGTATTTCTTTTTCCCCTTTTGATTGATCCGTTTGGTTCTAGAGAACGCAAGAACAGGGAAAGTCACAACAAAGTCTGAGGTTTTTGTTCTTGGAGGTTGTACGTGGAAAAAGGCCTGTAGAGCGAGGACGAGAAGAAGTTATTCGGGTGGATGGGGTATATGGGTTATGGAAGAGGGGTGAGATTGATGAAGCAAAGGATCCAAATTTAGGAACAGAGTACAAAGCAGAGGAGGTAGAATTAGTGTTGAAATTGGGCTTATGTGTTCCAATTCTAAGGCTGAAGATAGGCCAAACATGCGACAAGTTGAGCAGTATTTGAATATAGAAGTGCTTTTGCCTGATTTGCCATTGCCACTATCGTCTCCTTCTTGCTGCGGATTCTTGATGGATGCCTATTTCTCTCGCACTTCAACTCCTGAATCAATCCTTGGAGGTCGTTGATTTCCTTTTGACGACAACATATGTAAGTCGACATAGCAGTTGAGAACTTGTACTATTGGTTAATTTGCATATTGTTTGGATAACATGCTTATGCGGGTGAGATTAATTTTGTCGTTAACTTTATCCATCTTAGCATCTGCACAAGGTTTCTCCTTTCCAATTCAAGAAAATAAGTTATAATTAAAGCAGCTTCAAGAAAGCTTCTTGCAGCTTTATGTCATGGTGTTTTTTTGGCACAATCCTATTAATATATATTTTGTCTCCTTCCTCGAAATATATATTCTAAAATATTTTTTTTAGTGCTTTTATATTTTGAAATATTTTGTAATACATTTTTTTCTTTAAAATAATTTTTGAGTTAATTTTTTATCACTCTATTTTTTTTTTTCATGTTTTCAGTATTCATCTTTCACGCTTTTAATTTTCATCCTCAAAACTTTTAATAACTAGTTTTGCAATTTTTCCTTAAAACCACGACTGTTCATTATAAATAATTAATTTAATATTTATAAATTAGTTATTTAGGTCTTAGCATGTGATATCATAATTTCACAAGTATACATTAATTCATTGGACAACTTAATTAAATGATTTATATTGTTATAATACTCCTCCGGTTCTAAATATAAGACCCTTATACTAGTGTGTATAAGAGTCTTATATTTAGGACCGGAGGAGTATTAAAATACCATTCTGGTCCCTCGCGAGAATGGAGCTCTTCTTGATGCTATGACTTTTTCGAACAAAATTAAATTTTTATGCCAAAAAGATGAGATATGTGATATGTAATTTCTATTATCATTATTAGTTAGTAGTGTCTCGTTAATTTTTTTATATCTTTTAAATAGAATAGGAAATTTATTATTTACTAATTTTCAGTTCTATATATTTATTTTCTGTACTTCGATCCAAGCTAATTGCACAATGATGGTTTTCATAAATGATTTTTCATTCAATTAGGGTGTGATGCGATCAGGGAACATTATCGAATGCACATTTAGGACTATGGGCAAGAAAGATAAATATCATATTCATTATGTCGAGTTCTTTAATCACACATGGTTATGTGTTTCATTTTTGAGATATTAGTATTTAATAGCATTTAATTATGAACCCGTATGAAAAATAATGCATGGCTATTGTGGTTGGAAAATTTAACATAATAAATATAAGTAATTTGACCTAATTATTTCTCAAAAAATAAATACTAAACTTTTTAGGAAATGTAGGCCTTATTTATTTTCTTATCTATTCTTAATAACCTATTTAGTAACTTATTTTTTACTTAGGTGTTCTAAAAAACATAAAAAACGGTAATATATTTTTTAAAAACTAAAAAAATCAAAATAATATTTTAGACATTTTGAAAAATTAAAGATACATTTTCCTCTCTACTCAGTTGCTACCATGTCTCCACTCGCCGTCACCACCTCATCACTGACAACGGCAGCCACCTACCACACTTCGTCGCTCGCATGTGCTGCCCCAAATAATTAATAGGACAAGTGACCTAAATAAAATATGAAAAGGACAAGGCCAAGGTGTTCCATTCTACTAATTACCCTATCACCACAATCATTTGAGCCCTTGTCCTTCCATTTCCATCTCCCAGTTCATTGCTTTCCTCATAACACCCCCCCCCCAAAAAAAAATTTCATTAATGTTCCTGTGATTCCACCAAGCTTAAGTAATATCCATCAAAACTTAATATCCATTTTAATCATTTAATTTGACGAGTGTCCTATTGCCTTATTCAGCTACTTTGAAATTCATGTTCCAGATTTGTAACGTTGTTCGGTCTTGTGTTAGCAATTTTATAAAGTCTTGTGGTTCTATCTTGTGTTCTTCTACCTAATGATGTGGCATGTGGAAAAAAAAAAATCTAATGATCGAGACATAACTGTAATTAAATTATACCCAGCTTATAGTGTTTTCATTTAACAATTACTGCAAGATTTTGTAAATTTTTTTTCTAAATGTAGATAACAAGTTTTATTATTTTTTGGCTTCAAATGCGATTTTTTCAAAATAATTATCCAAACAGATTTTTTTTAAAATTTTTGCTCCTAAAACTTGTCATAAAAATAATTTTATAAAATTATTGAGAGAAAAAATAAAAACAAACAAGCCAAGAAAAGAAATTAAATTCTTGCTAAACAATTAAAGTTGTTAGAAAATTGAGTTAGTTTTCAATATTATTTTTTTTAAAATTACATTAGATCTTATTATTATATTAAATTCTACTCAGTTTAAAAGGTGTACGGTGTACGAAGCCGGAGCAAGTACTTTATTATTTGATTGTATAATCAACCACGTTCTTTTGGTGACATCTTCAATTCATGTTGATATCACTGCATGATGGTTTTCAATATCCGCCATTGAAAATGGCATCACTGGAGAAGCCAACGTATTTACGGCAACCAATCCCATGCAATTTTAGTCAATTAAGAATAAAATCTTCCCCTTCATTGACTGGCCGGGAAGAAGCTCTGTTTCTGTATATGTGAAGAAAATACAGATAGCAGAGAACACAAAGGCAGATCGACATTGATTCTGAGACAGCCATGTGTGTTTCGAAGCTTATTATGATGTTGGTGCTTTTATGGGTGACAAAACTAGTGCAAGTGAGTGGTGAAAATACAGGCTTCATCTTTAATTATGGCTTCCAATCTGCTAATTTAACCATGGATGGCGTTTCTGAGATCACTTCCAATGGCCTCCTCCAGCTCACCAATGAAACCAGGCTACAAACAGGTCATGCTTTCTACCCAAAGCCAATAGTTTTCACAAACAATTCTTTCTCTACCAATTTTGTTTTCGCCATTAGACCTGTAACTTCTCCAGCATCGGGTGGTCATGGAATGGCTTTTGTAATTTCTCCTACCAAAGCATTTCCCAGTGCAACTGCCGGTCCGTACCTAGGCCTCTTCAACATAACCAACAACGCTGACCCAACGAACCATGTGTTCGCAGTGGAACTCGACATCACTCAGAGCAGTGAGTTTGATGATATTGACGGGAACCATGTGGGAATTGATATTAATGGCTTGAAATCAATGACATCTAATTCTTCTGGATATTATGTTAATGGGTTTCAGTTTCGTAATTTGAGCCTTAAGAGTGGCCTGCCAATGCAAGTGTGGCTGGATTATGATGGAGGTGAGACAGAAATCAATGTCACTCTAGCTCCAATCAATGCCAACAAGCCAGAAACACCATTGTTAACGTTGCACCAAGATCTTTCTCAAGTTTTAACTAATTCCAGTTATGTTGGATTCTCATCTTCCACCTCTGCATCGCTGATAGCTTCTCATTATGTTCTTGGGTGGAGTTTCCAGCTCAATGGGAAGGCTCAAAATCTTGACGCCTCAAAACTCCCAAAACTACCGCCACTTAGAAGGAAAAGATCTATGATATTACCAATTGTGTTACCTCTCCTCTCACTCTGTTTAATTATTTTTGTGAGTTTACTTGTAGTTTGTTACATAAAGAAGAAAAGAAAATTCTCCGAGATTGTTGAGGATTGGGAGCGAAATTATGGTCCTCACAGGTTTAAATATAAAGATCTCTACTTTGCCACAAAAGGATTCAAAGAGGAAGAGCTTTTGGGCTCTGGTGGATTTGGAAAGGTGTACAAAGGGACGATGCCGGGTTCTAAGATTGAGGTTGCTGTGAAGAAAGTATCACATGATTCCCAGCAAGGCATGAGGGAATTCATTGCAGAAATTGTAAGCATCGGTCGTCTTCGCCACCGAAATCTTGTTTCTCTTCTGGGATATTGCAGGCGAAAAGGTGAGCTTCTTTTAGTCTACGAGTTTATGCCAAATGGAAGCTTAGATAAATACCTCCATAACCAACCTGGTATGACACTAAATTGGATGCAAAGATTTAAGATCATCAGAGGGGTAGCTTTGGGATTGTGCTATTTGCATGAAGAATGGGAGCAAGTTGTGGTTCACAGGGATGTAAAAGCAAGCAATGTTCTGCTAGATTCAGATTTCATTGGAAGGTTAGGAGATTTTGGTCTTGCTAGATTATACGATCACGGCGTTGATCCTGCAACTACACATTTGGCGGGGACTATAGGATATCTTGCGCCAGAAGCCATCAGAACAGGAAGAGCCACGACAAAATCTGATGTTTTTGCTTTTGGTGCCTTTGTGCTGGAGGTTGTATGCGGAAGAAGACCCATAGAACGAGGAAGTGAAGATGAGATTTTGGTGGATTGGGTTTATGGGTTATGGAAGAAGGACGAGATTACTGAGGCAATGGATCAAACTCTAAGAACAGAATATAACAGAGAGGAGGTAGAATTAGCGTTGAGTTTAGGACTTTGGTGTTCAAATTCCAAGGCTAAAGATCGGCCAAGCATGCGTCAAGTTGTGCAGTATCTGAATAAGGAGGCTCCCATGCCTGATTTGTTATCACTAATGTCATCTCCCTCTTGTTTTGGATTCATATTTGAGAGTGATAAAGAGTTTGATAATATGATAATGTCATTTCCATCTGCTAGTGTGGATGGCACTCACACTTCGATATCTGAATCACTTCTCTCCAGAGGTCGCTAAATTCTTTTATGAAGACACGCACACCTGCTCGTATGACCAGGCATGCACTCTTGGGCTCATTGCATTGTGTTAAATTTGTATCGTTATGCTGGGGTTTTTGTTTTTGATGTGTATATATTTCTAGTTGTTGGTGAATTAAATATGGACAAAGAAAAAATAAGGTCACATAAGAATCACAATTTACTATCTTGAATTATTGAAATTTCAATCAGATGTCATGGTCCGTAAGTGTTTCCTCCTTCGTCATCCTAAATTATTTTTTCAAACTAAGTTTCGATCTCTGGAAATAACTTTCAGTTGCAGCTCCCAAGCATGGTCACCGGACTGCCTATGTTGTTATTTTTCCCACTCGCCAAGCTGCCACCTTAAAGCCCAAGCTAGATGGGCTTTTGCCATTTAAAACTAAATATTTTAAACAAAAATGCTGATAAGCTAGCCCGTTTTCAAGCCCATTCTTTGGGGCTTTAAAGCTCAAGCCCAAAGAACAGTTTGTTTTCAGACCCCTCATTCTTGGAAATCGGGTCGACCCACGTTCACCGCTCTAACTGAAAAGTTTATATATACAGCGCAGGTAGTGTCAAACCATTCACTTGTTTATGGATGAAATTCTAGGAAATTGCCATGAATTCGGGTTGTCCAAGGATTGTTTCATGAATCTATTACGTACGAGTATTATATTTAATAATGTGAATATGCTAAATGCAGTATGGGATTTTCGTATGATTTGGTTGGGTGTGATTTTTCAGAATTTTAGTGATGACTCTGGTGTATCTTTTTTTATTCTGAATCAAATGGCAAAGCCAGTTTATTAGATGCAAATTCTCCCTTTCGACATGCAAATTCTATTGATTGATATACTGAGAATTCACATTAATTTATTAGAAATGAACTGTAATCAGTATGATAAATAAGTTGTAAAACAAAGCTATAAATGTAAAAGCCATTTGTTTTTTGGCTCAAAGGAAAATTCAGAAGTTAAAAAATTTGTTTTAATTTGCATGAAAATATTTTCTTAAGCGATGGTAAAAGACTGCCAAACTCCCTAAGCTAGTCGTTTGGGTTATCTTCTCTCTTTTTTTTCTTTCCAGACAAAAAAGGCGGTCCAGTGCAGAGGAGCAGCGAGAGGGGGGGTGAGTTTTGGAGACAGATATGATATCTGCTGCTTCTAAAGTCCTGTTTGACAGAACGTTAAAAATCATTTATAAATACATTTTATATAAGTTGAGATAAAAAATTTTTTATATATATATTTATCTCATATTTTGTAAATCATAATTAAAAAATTATTTATAAGTTATTCTAACCTATCTTTAAACGTGAAAATATATGAAAATGACTTATTAGCACACTTTATTTTGTGACACGTGTAAAGCTCCGCCTGGTGGCCCAAGCCCATTTGCAGAGGAGACTTGCGTCACACGCAAGGTCTTCTTCCCTCTGGAATCTATCCTTCCCATGACCTCTCTCCCCTCTCTCCTTTTCGTCTTCCTTCTCTTTCATTTAATGGGTTCTTTGAAGTGGTGCTTATTTCATTATAAAAATGCAGAGATGTCGTTTTAGCATAAAAAGGGGAACCATAAATACTACGTACGGTTGAAGGGACGCTCATAATTGTAGCCCTAGCACTAACGGGTTTAGTTAGTTTGAGTAGACGTTACACCAGAGATCCAGCTGCCACCGTCATGGGCGAAGCCGAAAGGCCATATTTTTATGCCCATTTTAAAAAAATAACAACGGGCTCCTTCTACCGCAAGTTTTTTTTTTTTTTAATTTTTTAAGAATTGAAATCACTTATAAATACGTTTTATATAAATGATAACAAAATTCCTCTTACATATTTACTTCGTATTCTGTAAATCACAATTGAAAAATAATTTATAAACTATTCCAAATAGATACTAAGTTATTACTTATTGTTCATTGCTATTATAATCAGTGAGAATTACACCACTACTTCTGGTGGGCAGTGGCAAAAACAATTTTAAGAGTTCAAAGATGAAATTAAATCAAACAAGTTTAATCCATTCAAATCTTAAGATTCTGGTTTAAAAAAGGAAGAGCAACAGAGACAAAAACTGACCCCATGACCCAGGGTGAAATGAAATGAATCAAAAGAAAATTGGAGGAAGCAGACCCAAAAATTGATAAAATTCCATATATTATTAACACAAGTGATGGGTGAAACAGGCATGGAATCAGAAATTGCTGACATAATTTTTGTGTCACCGATTCCATTGCGACACAACAATAGAAAGGGGAGTGTATTTTGATGAGACAAATAAAGATCACATGCTCTTTATTAGAAACCATAGAAGACGCTTTTGTTCTCCTTTCAAGTTTGTTGATAGGTCGATGTGTAGCCCGTTTAGTACAACAAAAATGTGGTGAAGGAAAAGGAAAATAGTTTTTTTTCCCTCCTTGATTGATTCGTTTGGTATGTTAGAAAGTAGGGTTGTTTATGAGCCTATTACGCCTGATGTGCTTGCTTGAACCCGCCAAAAAAATATCCTGTCCAGGCCAAAAAAAACACCACCCAAGGAAAAAATGGGTGTTTTCGTGCTGGGCTAATCACGGATAAGGCCGGATTGCAGGCACAACATGCAGCCTTGTCCATTTAGCTCTGCCCAAAATATATAATTATTTATATTATAATATATATTTTTTTAGAATTATAATATATATAGTGTAATATTAATATACTATATTTTATTATATTTCAATACCCAAAAGGAATATTACTCCCTTATTTATTATATGATGGAGAGAGATTACATTAAAATATAATATTTAGAACCTTTATTATCTAGAAAATGATGGTTTGGGAATCAAAAAATAAATATATTACTATTAAAATAAGTTTTCAATACAGTAAAATAGAAAATTTGCTACAAAAATTTAAGATAACTTGTAAATATTACTTATATTTAGGAATAACAGGAAAATGGTGGTCGTTATTTATAAAAAGCGATGGAAGAAAAAATTAACCAATTTTATTAAAAAATATATCCGCTTAAACATTTAATACTCTAAACTAATTTTTGACGCACTCAACACTATAACGATATATTTTATGGTGTTAATGCACCAAAAATTAGTTTAGAGTATTAAATTCATATGGAAAATAATTCAAAGCAATGGATGATTGTTAACATATTTTTGAATTATTAATTATTTGAATAATTAAAGTTATGCTTTATTAATTATATGGGAAAGTAGTTCTAAAGCTGAAGATAGGCCAAGCATGCGTCAAGTTGTGCACTATTTGAATAAGAAAGTTCCTTTTCCCTATTTGTTGTCATTCATGTCATCTCCCTCTTGTTTTGGATTCACCATTTGAGTCTAATCAAGAGTTTGATGTTATAATGTCCTTTACATCTTCTAGTGTGGATGGAACACTAACACTTCAATATCTGAATCCCTTCTCTCCAGAAGTCATTGGACACCCGCACCCACTTGTATGTACACGTGCTCAGCTCATTGCATTATGTTAAATTTGTATCATTATGCTTGGATTTTTCCATTTCTTGTTTTTAGTGAATCCAAATTACAATTTACAACCTTAAATTATTGAAAATTAAATACTTGGTTCGTGAAGTTTCAGAATCACATGAGCTCTTCAGAAGCCTCTTTCGTTTCTCTCCTACTATTTTCTTCTCCTTTCAATTGCTTGATGTGTAAAGGAGGAGATAAGCCATTGAGATCTCATTCCATGTGATTTTCTTTTGTTATACTCCTCCGGTCCTTAATATAGGACCCAATTCTTGAGTTGGTTTTGGTCCTAAATATAAGACCCATTTCTCATATTTATCAATTTTCTCTAAATTACCCCTATAGATACTCCCTCAACTATAATTAAGCAAAAGAGATAGGGGGTATTAAGAAAGATGATTATGGTGTTTTAGGAAAAATGTGTCAATTTTCTTATAATTAACTAACTTATCTAACTTCCTTAATCTAATCAAATTAGTTAAATGGGTCTTATATTAAGGACCGGAGGAGTAATATAATTTTTTTTCTCAATCATTAATTTAGTCTTTAAATTTCGACTCTATATATGCCTCAATCCTTATATATAGTTTGATGGAGTTAAAAAAAAATTATAAGAATAGAGTTAGAAAATTGAGTTGTTCTAAGAAAAGAAATTATAAAGATGGCGTAATTTCGAGTCCAATTAATTTTAGGAATTAAACAAGTGGTAGGATTACGTTTCGTGAAAATAAAAAATAAATCTCATTTTTAATAATTTAATTGAGAAATAATAATCTCTTTCAAAAATTTAAGTCCTCCATTTTATCTAAATTACTTAAGTTTCATGCATAGATCATTGTTAACCGTGATTCTTCGCAAGTTTTTGGTAAACTCCCTTTCATTTCCTCGTAGCAACGTACTAGCAAAGGGACACTAATAGAAAAGTCATAACTACTCCAAGATGAAGAGCTCTTGAGCTTGGGTGGATTTGGAAGAGTCGTAGCTGGTCCGAGACAAAGGTCTAATCGGGGTGGTCAGTGTCTCTTCTCTGACAGCGACCACCGTGGAGAAGTCAGCCGAGCGATTGTGAAGACCGAAACGCCCAGAACCCCACCTCCAACGTATCTTAATAACGAGTGAACCAAAATGCTTCCTCACTGTGTTCTTGCCCTTCATCACTCATCCCCCACACAAAAAAAGACAAACTTTGATTCTCTACATGTGGTACGTGTTCTCATTGCCTATTTGAAACATCTTACATTCTTATCTATAAGCTATTTTGTAGAATCTATGAAGTAATTACTCTCTTTTTAGTTATGTTATATTTGTGTATAGATATATATATTGTTTAGTTATGAAGGTGAAAATAAGAATGGAAATATATGAGTGTATTAACGCTGCACTGGCTGAGTATAATGGCGATAAATATACCAAGTACTAACTACTTGATTCAAGCACCGTTTGGCACATCACTGAGAGTCAATCCCAACAGGATAACGTCGAAATTGGGACGTTAAGTAAATATATATTTGTTATAATAAATTTTCTTCATTAATAAGAAAAACTATTTTTAATTCTTGTACGGGGGAATTCAATTTTCAGTGAAAACAATTTTCTTTTTCAATTTTCTGGAATGACTGCATGATGATTTTGGATAGCCGCCCTTGATGACGGAGGCCAAGCCCCTTGAACGGGTCAATAAGATTTTGACCAATTAAGAATCGAATCTTCCCCTGCAAT